ATAGTGGTTGGTTAGATTAGATTTTCTTAGATGGACATCCAGCTTCTAGACATCAAATAACTAAAGTAAGTACTCTTATTCTTAGCCAACTGTTTAACTTACATCTGACTGGCTTATAAGTCAAACTCTCTTCAATTTCAAACACTAAAACGCATTTCCCCTGTCCTGTGTGAATGAAGCAGCCCTGTCCTAAATACGAAATTTAAAACGTCGTGAGAACCCTTTACTAGAACTACGTAAGTAGTAAGTTTGTATTTAAATTCCAATAACCTGCTAATTTTACGTATGTGAATATTTCAGATGGCTTCCCAACCAGAGAAAACTGGGGGCACAAAAGATGGCAAACATTGAGTTATATGCCATTTTCCATCACCGAGAACTTAAAGTCGATCGAGACAAAACCATGTTCGTATGACACATTTGCCTTGCGTACGCAAAGGGCACCTTCTCGGAAACCCCTTGTACACCACTGTTGTACTGCCCGCCTACCGGACATTGGAACCAATGCCTTTACTGTTCAAAATATTGAACACAACTTGGTATTCTCATGAATACTTGTGGCATTTAGATACCAAAGAATTTGTCTCTCCTAGAATCCCTTGTGTTTCCAATCCAACGGAGGGGTTGCCATGCGCAAGTTTTGTTTTAATAAGGTGATCGAAAATCAAACGGAAATTATCCAGGCTACTTATTCGCTCTGGATCTCGCCAGTTGCCGGTTTGAGGCAGTTGCATCGTCCCAGCGCCCTCAAATTTTTGGGACAAGTGAACCTCTCAGACATAGAATGCCTGTGCACATAACTACTTTTATTTCAGTATCAGTTTATTCAGGAAGAATAGGCAAAGGCGTTTTAGTTCCCTATTGGTAAAAAAAGGTGGCTAAAATTGAATGCATAGAAAAGAGAAATGGATATATATACTTTAATAACATGCTTGCAAGCGAAAAGCAGGTGGAGTCGAAATAATAATAAAATATGACTATTGGCTTAGCACGAGTAGTATAATATTTGAATAAATATCCTTTCCGCGACTACATTCGGCGACCAAACAGATACAAGTGATCCTGCATGTGACTCCTCTTTATTACCGCTATTATAGTGACAATGTTGACAAGTCGATTACTTATGTAAACGGTCGTTTTCCAACTACAGGCATTAGTGGACTTCGAAGTTAGGAGACCTACTGACAGAATTTGCCTCAACGATCAGTTTAGCAAAGGAGCAAGGTTGGCCAGGCCTTCTCAAGTTTCTTAATGTGCCCTACACATCTACAAGAATTTGCAACATTTGAGGAAAGTACGCCTTTTTCATAGTGTGGGTAAAAGAACAGGACGCACGACAGGAGACGCAAACAGAAAAGTAAACAGTTCCGCTAGTTGCTTTCGGATAATAGTCATAAATGGCACCCTTTTAATGCGACCTCGTGGTCCCACTTGCAGTATAGGTAAAAACAAATGTTGTATAGTGGGGCATGAATTCTGAATAGGATCACCACGCCTGAATAGGAAGTTCACACAAATTCACACAGATAGAAATACGGGGAAGACATTCGTTTTAGTGAGATGGCCTTTGGACGAAGGGGATAAGGAAGCAGCAAGTGAAACTGTACAAAAAGCACCCAAGAAACTGGAAACCGCGCTTCGGAATATACGTAAATATTACTGAAATATAGTAAGTAGTAAACTATTTTGATTTGTGTATGTGGTTGTGCAGATGATTGAAATGGGCGGAACAAATGCGGAGCAGGAATCTAGATAAGGCACTGTGCGACTTTTGTCTAGGACGACGCAGTGAAATGGGTAAAATTTTGGAAGCTCTTACTTATGCAGGGTGACTGTGTCTCCTTGAGGCAGTGGCCTTCTTGCTCCTTGAGAAAAACAGCTCTCTGGCATACTGATTGGAGGAATAAAAGGATAACAAAGGTATTAGTTGAATAAAATAGTATTTGAAGATGTAAAAAAGCAAACAACTACGCAAGCTGAGTTAAGGCGCACCTGCGCAGAATAAACGTTTGCTGCTGTAACCCAACCTAACCACGGTTTTAGTTTCCGCAGTTAACCAAAGGACAGTGGGCTGTCTTGGCTCCCGATAAAATAACCACGTCCGCTAACTTACAACAGGTGCATACCGTGCGATTATTAAGGACCTGACTCCATATATTGGACAGGTTAATATACTGAATAAACGAATATAATCGAGTGTTCGGGTTGGGTATGGCTGACTCATAACGGCTAATAAACCAGAAATGACCATTCCAGCTTTCTTGCTCCTTTCGGATATGTAGAGTAGACTGTATGCCTGATGAAATGTGAAGATCAAAGTTTGAGTGGATGATTAAACACACATTGGAGGTTGTTTATTTTATTCATTGAGTTGACTTGAGGTGCAAAATGCTGTTTACTAGCAAAGAGTTCGGTTCAGATCAGTATACTGGGGACAAAACGGGGCCAAGTGGGGCCAAGTCCAACCTCTGTTGATGTCCAAGGAATTTCCTAAGCAATCAAACGCTGTGGAAAAGACTTTGTTTTTGCGTGTTGTACTATAAGAGGACATTAATAAAAAGCGAAAACTTTTTAATTATCTATGTTCAGAGAACAGATAATTTTGTTTTGCGCTCTTGAAATTGAGGTTAGTGTAACTATGAGATAGCGCATTATTTTGGGAAAAGAAGAGGAAAGAAATTTTTAAAAATTCTGTTTTGCAAATCTGCCAAGTTTTGTGCCATAAAATTGAATAATAAAATTATAAGGCTGTTATTTGCTACACATCAATTAAAATAATGACTGTAAACAAGCATATATACAAACACCCAAGAAATGCCGTCATTTTCTCTGTCAAGTTCTATGCAAAGTATGTTTGACCATTTTTTATCTATAGAGCAGAATCAATGAATAGAAAAAGTTAAAACTGAACGGACAGAAGATTATTATTTTTCTCAAAATCGTTGTTGATACTCCGCCACTCTGCTCTGCTTTTTTCTCTTAGAACTGCGCGTAGAAGTAAACAAAGATACTGAAAACTGCTCCAGTTAACATAGAAAAGTTAGCTCTTTCATTTATAACAGATGTATCCCTAATTTTTTGCGAAGTCAAAAAACCAGTCAAAATTTTCCATTCTGATCTTGACTTAATCTGCAAAAATATTAAGTATGCAGATATTCGATGCCAAGGTATATAACTAAAGCGCTTTTTTAAGAGATAACTTTTTATAGAAAATTTTTTTAATCAATCTTAGGCATATCCATTACCCACTTTTGTTATGGAAGTTAATTTTTATCGGCAATGAGGTAACATATTTGGGTGATGCTGAAGCCAAGACCCAAACAGACAGCTGCGTTAGAAAAAATGTTCAGAAGTCCGTTAGTTGGGTAAATGATTTACAAAATATCTTATTTTGAAGGTTTTGGGAAACACCTAGAATATAATCATTACTAATGGTTAATCGACTGAAGTCAGTGAAAATCGTAAAGTTTTAAGTAGCAGTTCAAGGAATATCTGTACCTCTTCGTAATCGAAATTCCAAAATAATTACAAAGAAATGTGGCGGAAGGAAATTACTCTTAGTGTAGAAAATATGGTACGCTTACAATTGCAGCTGACAAATTTGTTAGTCACTGACCGGCATTTCCGCGCGTGAGCTTACGAAATATCTTACTCCTGTGATCTCCCAATGGGCCAAAATGAAGCGAAAATGTGGTTGCCTTAGTCCAACGTAACTCAAGCTATACATAAAGGAAAGCAAAACCTAGCAATTCTCGTGAAAACGTGTTGGAATGCATACCCGAAATTTGGGCTGTTCGGTAACAGCCATATACTTCAATGCACATAATATGGAAGCGTATGTATCCGGAAATTTTACAAAATGATTATTTTTCAACGTAATTGTATTTTTGCTGCTTTATTCACTCGGTAGTTTTGCATGAACGGGCTTCCTCGACAGGTAAAACTGCAGTTTACCTAGTACGCCCGATTTCCACTTTTTCGGAATTTTCCACCTAGCTAAATAAGCTGGTATTTCTATAAAATTTTATATACCTTCATAAATCGCAATATGCCCCGATTTATGAAGAACGACCTTAACTTTAATACTATCAGACTTTTGGGGCCGCAGCTTGGGCTGTGTTTGAGTAGCAGGAAGCTTTCGAATTTGAGCTGCCGGTTTTTTTTGCTCTCCATTCACGTGGGAAT